GGGGAGGCCGAGGTCAGACCTGGGGTGGCCGATCAAACACAAATAACAATATTGAATGTTATAATTGTGGGAAGTATGGACATGTTGCCAAGGAGTGTTACTCGATCAAATGCTACAATTGTGGAAATCTGGGTCATATTTCCAAAGATTGTAGGTCCGAGAAGAAAAGGGAGGAACCAACCAACTTCCTTGCCGAGGAAGAAGATGAAGGATTGCTGCTGGTGACAACTATTCCAGAAGTCGAGATCAAACCGAGTTGTTCTTCCGAGATCAAACCGAGTTGTTCTGATAACTCAGTTTGGTACTTGGACACCGGCGCAAGTAATCACATGTGTGGTGACGAGCATTTATTCAAAATGCTTTCAAAGGAGGAGTTCGGATCCGTTTCTTTCGGCGATGCTTCAAAAGTAGTTGTCAAAGGCCGAGGAACGATCTTAAATCATATTATATTTTTATATATATTATAGATTTATATATATATATATATTATAGATTATAAATATATAGACTTTCTCTTTTTACCTCCGTTAGTCTTTTGTTTTAGTTGGAAAAAAAATATAGATATAAATTATTGATTAAATTATAATATTATAAATTCTGCATACATGCCAACAAAACATATATAAATTTGGATCCCTGCAGTTTTACAATAAACAGCTGGAATATTTCAGTTATTTATTAAAATTATTGTATTACAAAAAAATCGTTATATAATGATATATATCTTATAGTAATACAATATGTATCACTAAAAATTATTTTTATTTATACAATAAATATAATATATATTGATTTATTGTTAAAAAGTGAAAGTATAGACTATAATGACACACAAAATATGTTATTAAATCTCATTCAAAATCAATACCAAAATTATATGTAACTATATGTTAAATATATATATATATATATATATATATTGTATCTATAATAACACTTTTTATATATCACTATATATAACATTTTTTGTAGTATTGTATTTAATTTTTAAATATAAATTGTTAGTGTAATAAAATAAATTTAAAGAATTTGGTCGACGTAAATTTCAACAACGAAAAGTCTGGAAACGTTATCTGTATGTATAAATTTATGTTGAAAAAATTGAAGTATATAGATTGACATTTTCATTGAATACTCGATCAAAAGTCTAGGGAATTTCTAGTGTAAAGTGCTAATTAATGTGGTATCTTATTAACAAAAATAGTTGTTTATTAGCGACTCCTATTAATAGGAGTTTGGTGAAATCACATATTGAGTTGTTTAAAAATAAACATAATCTCTTAAATAAGTATCGATGCTTATGAATAAATAAATAAATAAAAACATTATTTTCTTAGTTCAAGGTCTGCCAACGATGAACACAAACGGCGGAAAGAAATACAAGATCTGAAAAATAGATTAAATTAAAATACCCATTAATCATAATAAATTAAAATAACCGCTAAACATCTTTTTTGAGTTTTATTGTTAAAAAAGTGTAGTATAAATAAAAAAAGAAAATTGGTATGTTATTTATAAAATCTCACCATTTTTAAATAAGATTTGTAAAAGTATAATGTAAATATCGAGTAAGGCGAGATAATAAGTTTCATTTAAAATAAAATAAAAACTAATACATTGTTTATAAAAATCACTATCCGAGATATTATTAAAAACCTTGTTGATGTCTAAGGGTGTGCAAAAAATCCAAATTGATCCGAACTGATCCATAACCGATCCGATCCATATTGAAAAATCCGATCCATTTTGAAAAAAAATCCAAACCGAACCATTTTATAAAACCGGTTCAGTTATCCGATCCATTTTTACAAAGTGGATCAGTTCGGTTCGGTTTGGTTTTCTAAAAAAACTGATCCATATATGAGTAAAAAAGTGGATAACTGCACCGCACCGAACCGATCCAATTTAAAAAAAAACCGATCTATATTTTAAAAAAACCAAACCGATCCACTTTATAAAAAATAGATCGGTTAACCGATCCACTTTTATAAAACGGTTCGGTTTGGTTTGGATCGGTTTTTTGAAAAAACCGATCCATGAATGATAATACCTACACCGATAAGAAAAGATACAGAAAGTCGGTATAAAAGTATGAAACTGATAATGAAGAATTGGTTTAAATTTTGTTTATTAAAAAAAAAACTTTGTCAATCCATGTTATTTGTTTGTAGATTTTGTTTTATGTACGTTATCCATCCAATATCTAAAGATGATAATAAAGAGAAAATTTGTAAAAGTTGGCTTATAATTTATTATTATTATTTAATTTTTAATTATTATTTTGACTCTCTCTTTCTTTCTATATATATATATTAATCTTTATAAAATGTATAAGTTTTGATTTTGGTTTTTGTAAAAAAAAATTTATTTTTAATTCTTTAAAATTTAAAATCATGTTTTTTAGTTCCTACTTTCATGTAATTACTTTTAATTACTTATGTGTATATTAAAAAGTCAATTAATCATCCTAAGTGGTATCCACAACTATATCATACTTAATGTATATGATACTTTTTAAAATTTTTATAAATCTTTAAAATAAATGTTATTTATATATTTTAGGGACAAAAAGTATAAATATAAAAATATAAAAAATATAAAAAAGTATAAATAAAAGTATATATATATATATATATATATATATATTATATAAGGACTATAACCAATTTTTGCTCATTTTACAAAGATTTTTACAAATTTTAGAAAGATAAAAAAAATTTTAAAAATTATATGAATTAAAATTAAAAATCACTCATTTTATCAAGACTAATTAAAAATGTATTTAAGTCTATTATTTTTTATTTCATATAATATGTGTTTTGGTATGAAAGATTTTGTTTAGAATAATCTTGTGGCAATTTAAATCTAGAACATTTAAAATAGTGCAACCTATTGCATCTCAATCCTAATTCTAGGTTGTATAAACATGTAAATTAATCTTAAGATTTTAGAAATAGTCCCAAAAAATCTCATAGTAACTTACTCTGTATTTTACTGGTCAACCTATGTATTTATGAAGATAACTCATCTATTACATGTCAGTCAAATATCGACATGCTTATCAATGCTTGATCAAATTGATCTCAACCTAACTTCCAATGTAGGTATTTGAACGCAATATTAATCCAATTAATACAAAGGAGGGTTTAGATAGTCGTTCTAGAGGAAATAGACAATTTGCTCAAAAGAGACTAACAATCAAACACCAACATGATTATTCACTATCGATACTTTATGACATAATTAGTATGTAGATGGTTACCTAAGTCAAACAAGTCTTATGAAGACTAAGTAAATAAATTTTCAACAAAGTGACCAACTTAGATCAAGATATTTTTGGTAGGGTACACAAACCTCGGACCTTAAATACAAGATACAAGAAGGTTGCCAAATTCACCGTCATCAGTACCGTGGCTTAATCACAATCGAAACTTTAAATCGTGAACTAATATCAACTCAATGATGAGTCTGATTTTCATATAACATGGTGTGTAAATATGCAAGAGAGAGAGAGAGGGAGGAAGGGCAGTAAGATAACATATATGGAGAAAGTGAGAAAAGGAGAAAGCGAATTTATGAGCACAGATGGGTGTTCCATTATTTCAATAATTTCTCACGTCACAGTTTAAATTATTCAGTGAAGGGAGTAAACCAAACAAACTTTCCTGCTAACTCCCAAACAGCACATACATTATTCCATTCTTTATATATATATACCTTACAAATAAGGATATGTACGTAATCCAACCCTACCGTTATGATTATTCCTCAGCCAGTTTAGTCAACAATATCCTAACCAACCTTTCCCCTCACACGCTATGCTAGCTAGCTGCATGAATACAAATACGGCACTGATATTCAGTATGAATAAATACAGGTATAAGAGAAATTAATAAACTCACTACCTCATATTGTATTAGAGAGGAAAATCTGTCTCATTAATTAGCAATTTTTTTTAAGTGTCGAAGAAAAGCAAAAAGTTTTACATATGTCTAAATCTTGAACCAAAAATTAGTCATAATTATAATTAAACTTAATTCAATTTTATTATATGTTTATAAAATGAGAATTTTTTTATTTATATATTATATTTTAATCATATATGTAATCTCCAACTATCAAAACCAAAAGCTTGCGAAAATATCTTGAAATTTAACCAAAAAGTCAAACATCCAAATTATGATGCGGTTAAAGAGAAAAAATAAATAAATAAAAAAGGTAGGATACGTTTGGCCAAAAGAATTGCTTACGTTTCCCTGAATATACAATACTCCACCAACGTCTTACACTTGAATCCTTTCCCCTTTTTTCTTATTATACTTTTTTTCATGTACACTAATAATCATCAACCTACATAAACATTACGCACATATATATCGACCCTATTAATTACTCTAATAAATACTTAGCCACAAAACCATCAGTAATTAGTAATTAATTACCTCATGATTGCTCAAACCGGATCGAATAATCAGCGTCATTGCCAAGGCCTCTGGTGGAGGAATCGTTGAATAAAATTGGTGCAAAAGGGCAATCACTAGTATTAATTGAAGGTGGTACTGGTAAGAGTTGTGAGTGTGGTGGCGGTGGTGATTGGAGCAACCTAATTTGCCTCTTCAAGAACTTGACATAGCGAATGGCTTCATCGAGCATGGAAGCAGTGTCCATTTTGGTTCCACCAGGGACGAGTCTTTGGAGGATGCGGATCTTCTCGCTGATCCTCTCGCGCCTGTGTCTCGCAGCCACGCTCTGAGGGTCCTCGCTTATGCGCACGTTTCGTCTCTTTGGTTTTCTCACGCTTGCGGGGTCTATGTCGACGGGTTGCATCGCTGCCATTTTGTACATCATTTCCTTCATGGCTCCTAACTCTTCTTCACCCTCTTCCTCCTCTTCGAAATGGATCCCTAACACGTCGCTCAGAAAGTTGTTGCTTGAAGAAGAGGGTGCCACGTTGGACGAGGATGAGGGTTGCATGTGGTGGGGGTAGTTAACGTTAACACTAACACCCATTGGAATTTGGCGGTGATCATGATGGTGATCATGGAGGATGATGGTGTTGTTGTGTTGATCATATGTTCCCATGTTCCCAGTGTTGTTAACAACATTTGTGAATAATGTGGTGTTTTGGTTGGAATTGGAATCCATGGCTACAAAACACTATGGGGAGGGATGCTTCGGTTTTTGTTCTTTCTAATGTAAGGTTTATGAGTGGACTAAAAGTCTAAGGCTTTGAATGAGAAAATGAATAAACTAGGTTGATTCTCTGATGGCTTTAAACGTATGCACCGATTATTAAATAAAGTAGCGATATCTCGCCGCGTAAAAGGGTGGTAGCTGTGTGGTGGTGAGAAATTAAGGAAGTGTCGCCCTTAACAATTGATGGTTCTAGAGAAGGTAGCTAGTGAGGGTCCAAGGAGAGAAAGGGAGAGAAGAAATGTTTGAAAGGAGTTTTGAGGGAAATGAGTGTGGCTGCAAAAAGTACTTGGATGAATGAATAAAAAGAGAGGTGGATCGGAGTTGCATGTTTAATGGGTTGAATACGCTGCAAAGTAAAATAAATCCTCATATTGCACACGTAAGGGGAAGGACGGATGAGCTGGCTTTATATACAAGACCGTGTTTGAATATAACTTTTTTCAGAATTTTTTAATTAAAAAATACTATTTATTTTTAATTAAAAAAATCCAAAATATTTCTAACTTATATCTAAATACATTTTAAATCACATTCCTAGACTTTTTAATTTGTTCTTATGACCTCAATTATCATTTTTTCAGGAAAATATTTAAGAATCATGGAGAGATAAAGAGATAACTAAAAAAATAGTAATTAATGTTGTTTTAGATTTTAAAGAAGAGAAAAATAAGAATAAGAATGTTAAATGTTAATGTGTTGTGTACAAAAATTTAAATAAAAAAAAGTGACTATATTCACGTGATTGAAATTTAAAAGATATACAAATTAAGATTGTTCTAAGATCATACGCTAATATGATGACAATATGTCAAGTTTGGAGATCATTGACTATTTTATCTTAAGATTATTAATTATTTCTCTATGGTCGAATAAAATGAGATAAAAACATTGGCATCGAACTTTGAAATCACTACGCTCTTAACGCACTCTAAAACAAGAGTAGATATGACGGTATATCCCATAGTTAAAGTTAGTCCGGCACATATATACATGAATGAGAATTTTTATCTATTTAATTTTGATCATTTATCATCTCCAAAGGAATAAAAACAACGCTTGCAATTTTAATGACAACGTCTGAAATCATTAAATGCACGATTAATGCATCCAATTTTTATATGTTTAGAAGAAGCATTCTAATAAATTAAGGTCTCCAATGTCAATTAAAAAGCAAAAATACATATAGAGAACATAAATGTTATTGACTATTTAAAAATCGCATTTACGTCAATCCCATGTTTACCTGGCTTACAATTTTTTTTATTGCATTTATTTTATAAATTTTGCTGAGAAACTTCGAATAACTGATAACTATAGGCTCAAATAATTAATTCACACATATCAAGAAAAGTTAATTTTTTTATTAATATATATATATGAGAAGGGTTCAAACAATACCGATGTAACTTTTACTAAGTGTTACACTGCTCAATAACTTTAAATTAAATGTGAATTTTGTAAATCTAACTGTTAGATTGAAAATTCATATCACTTTATATGTGTATATCAAATTTTATTAAAATTGAACAACAACTTGAGGGTAATCAAAGTATTCATATTTTAGTATATTTTGAAATAAATATATTACGTCAATTTTGTTTTATAAGAATGAAGTATCAAATCATCTTGAATTAATATAAAATTTTGTATATATAATCTAAGAGTAAAGAACTTTCAATCTAACGGTTGAATTTACAAAATTCACATTTAATTTAAAGTTATTGAACGGTATAACACTTAATAAAAATTACATCAATATCGTTTAAACTTTTCTCTCTCTCTCTCTCTATATATATATATATATATATATATATATATTAAATTTCGATTTCTTTCTACAACTATCCTTAAATTAATTAATAAGACACTGAATTAATGTGTGTTTGTAAAGATTTTGTAATTCAAAAACAAAAAATGAGACTTTTTTATTTCAAGAGACAACAATTAAATGAATTCAACTTACTTGTTGAACTCAACACATGCATTTTAATAAGAGTTCTTTTATATATAAAAAAATTAATAATTAGACAAAAAAATATATTAATTTTTATAAAAATAATCAAACTATTTTAAAATTTTGGATCCTACAATAAGAATAGGAGGCATAGCTCATAATGAATTTAATAGGTGTACGAAACTTGTAACGACCCGCCCTAGGCCGTCACAAAATAACCAACTAAAATAAAATGATATATAATATAGAAAATAGAGCAAAAGCCAGCTACGCTAGAGTGTAAACATTTGTCTTCATAATATCAAACATAATTATATCAGAGTCAGTCTTAGTAAAATTATACAGTAATCCCATAATAACATCATATAAGACACCCTAGGTGCTGGTCAAGCTCTAAACCTAGCTACTTCTCAAAGCAGCTATCAGTAGACTTCTTGCTGTCCCAAGCCTCACACCTGATCTGCTCCCCCACATAGTGAGATCATCACAGTCCAAACCACATGGAAACATGCAAGGGTTAGCACATATAAACCAACCATAGTACGATAAAATGAAATATCATTAAACAGATATTTATCCATAATATATATATATATCCGCACCAAGGAAATAAACCTTATAAATAGTTATTTCCATGCCAAATATAAATCAAATCTAAAATCCAATGCATACAATCCACACCATTTGTATACATATTCCACATCCAGAAACAAAGTCACACCACTGTATAATTATTCCATGATCTCACACCAACATATCCTCACAATGTTGGCCTCAACACCATCCACCAAGTGTTGACACGCACGCTGAAACATATCAGCAACCCAGGAATCAC